GATGTGATTCATTAGTATAATGCCATTGCAAAAAAAAAAAAATAGTAGGGAAGAGCCCACATGCTTCTGGAAGTTAGCTAGTCATTAAGTTTTGGTCACCACACTTCTTCAAGGAGATGGAGAAGTGTGTGAGGATTCAGAGATGAACGCCAAAGGTAATTAAAGTAGTGGAAACAGGTCCTGTGAGGAAAGGTTGTGTAATTAAAGGAAGAAATTACTAATTTTATGTATTCTTTTTATCCACAAAAAATAAGCATGAAGAAATTAGCTTAAATAGGCAAGCTATGGCTGGCTATGAAGAAAAATATTCTAACTAATTGGATTAAAAATGCAAATCTGACCAGGCTATTCTCTAGTTAAAAAAACAAACAACAACCCTTAATTGACTTCCCATTGTTTCTAGGTCAGCGTCTACTTTTTTTTTTAATGAAGCATATAATTCATTTATTTATTTATTTTTAAATATATTTTTATTGATTTCAAAGAGGAAGGGAGAGGGAGAGAGAGAAACATTCAATGATGATAGAGAATCATTGATCGGCTGCCTCCTGTATACCCCACACTGGGGATCGATCCCGCCCTTGACCAGAATGGAATCGAACCCGGGACCCTTTAGTCCGTAGGCCAACACTTTATCCACTGAGCCAAACCGGGTAGGGCTGAAGCATATAATTTAGTAGTTAGCTGATTTTTAACAAATCAAGGTTCAAGTGATTTTTTTTTTTTAAAGCAAGATAACATGTAACAATGATTTGGGCATTTTAACTTGTTGGGAAATGAAATACTGAATGATACAGAAATAATGTTGTCATATCAAAAATAGATGGAGATAAATAGGAAAAGATGAAAAAGAGGGGGAAATAAACAGAGTCCAAAATTGCTTATGTTGTGGCCCAAATGTTCTTCCTGTGTTTTGTTGAGACACAGCTTGAATCCCAGACAGACTCAGCTTCCATCATGAAGTGGATGAGCCACAATGTATGATAGTGTTCTGTCTTATGAACAGCTCAATACGAGGTTGAATAAGTAAATCCACATTTGTATGTTTTAGGATTAAATAAAATGTTTAAGATATGTATGTGTGTGTTTTTAAAGATACCTATTCCTGTACGCTTTGAGGATAATTTTTTCAACGTTTAATCTAGAATGATTTCAAACATACAGTTATAAGAATAGTACAAAAAATATCCATTTGCCTTTACCTAGATTTACCTGTTGTTAACATTTTACCCCATTTGTGTGCTTGTGCACACACACACACACACACACACTCTCTCTACACATACAAACACACACACACATACACACACATACTCGCACACAATTTTTGTTCTACCCACTTGAGAATAAACTGCATACATCATGGACCTTTACTTATAAATCTTTCAGGGTATATTCTTTCAGAATAAGAATATGGTCTTACAGGACCACAGGGGACTTCAGTAAATTTAATACAGTTACGGTATTTTAATCTACCATCCATCTTCCAACTGTTCCCATTGACCAATAATCTCCTTTACAGGTGTTTTCTTCTCCTGTAGTACAGGATCCAGCCAAAGCCTGTGTTTTTCAAAATGGCATCTGAGGCCGTCCACAAACAAAACTGCGGGGTTACCTCTTTCCAGGTGCAAGGTCCTCCCCTTGCCCCCACCTCAGGTTCACGCCCCTGTGCCTTCGTTTCTGCTCCTTGGAGTGTTAGAACCCCGCTCTTTACACAGTACCTACTTTTCTTTTTCTTTCAATAATCAGACATTTATGACGACTCTCCCTACTACCCTCCTGGAAGTCAGGGGGCTTTCTCCTTTCTCCCTCCCCACATCTGGGACCCTAGGTGTACTTGGCATATCTTAGTGCACATTCATGAATACATATCTGCCCCGCCTTCCCCCAATCACCCTTATCCCCTTCTATGAGACTGTAAGATCTTTAAGAAAGTAAACCATATTGTATTGGTCCTTGTATCCCCAGATGTTACCATGGGGTCTGGCTCACACGAGGTGCTTTATAAATATTTATTTATCAGCGATGGAATATGCCACTGTAAAGAGCTGCTGAAGGGAGTTGTAGGAGTCTGATCCTAAAGAGCTTCCAAAGAAAGGAAAATGCCCTCTAGCCACGGGCCTTAATGGTTCGCGCAGTGGTTGGCAAACTGCGGCTCGCGAGCCACATGCGGCTCTTGGCCCCTTGAGTGTGGCTCTTTCACAAAATACCACGTGCGGGCGCACATGTACAGTGCGATTGAAACTTTGTGGCCCATGCGCAGAAGTCGGTATTTTGTGGAAGAGCCACACTCAAGGGGCCAAATAGTCGCATGTGTCTCGCGAGCCGCAGTTTGCCCACCCCTGTTCTAGGGGGAAGGGGAAGGAGTCTGGGCTGGGAAGATTGGTCTCTTCCAATTAAATGGTAGAGTATGGCGAAATCAGACCTAACCTTTACATTTCTTAAGTTTTCTCAAGGTCATGCACAGCCTTCGCAAGAACATGGACTGGATTTACTTTTTAATTTTTAACTAATTTTAGACTTCCAGAAACATTACAAAAATAGGACAGAAAGTTCCTAGAAACCCTTCACCTAGCTTCCCTTAATAATAAATATCTTCTATAGCCATAGAATGATGATCAAAACCAGGAAGGTGGATTTGGCACAAGGCTACTAACTACAGACTTTATTCAAATTTCCCCAACTTTTCCACTAATGTCTTTTTTTTTCTGTTTCAGGGTCCTATCCACGATCTCATGTTGCATTTAGTTGTCATGTCTCCTTAATTGTCTTCTATCTGTGACAGTTCCTCAGTCTGTCTTTGCCTTTGTGATCTTGACACTTTTGAAGAGTATTGGTCTGTCTTTTGTAGAATGTCCCTCATTTTGGGTTTGCCTGATGTTTTCTCATGGATAGATTGAGATTCTGCATTATTTACAAGAATACCACTGTGATACTGTGACGTTGTGCCTGCTCTGAGCATCATCATGTCCAGGGTACATGAAGACGTATGTCTTATTAATGGTGATGTTGAACTTGATCACTTGGATAAGGAGGTTTCTGCCAAATTCTTCCCTATAGGGTTATCATCCTTTTCTTTGATGTTAATAAATATCTTAGAGATGCTTTGAAACTATGCAGATAATCCTGTTTCTCTTCAGACTGTTATCCACTAATATATGCATCCATCAGAGAACCTTGTTTGTAACAAATTTTACTGTTATGTTTGTCTAAGTGAATTTCTTAGTGATTGGAAAGAATTCTTCTGGAAGAAGGAGCTGCAGACTGGATTTGGATTTAGATGCAGAATGTCACATACTTCTAATCAATATCTTCTGCTCTGTTGATTCTTCAGATAATTAATTTAATAAAATGTATTTAATGTTCTTATTCATGTATTTACATTTTATTAATGTTTATGTAAAGGCATTATAATCACATATGTTATCACTGTCCTGTATTTTCTTTATTATAAGCAAACTGAATGACTTTCAATTTTATAAATGAAAAAAATCAATGGCATTAGGAAAACAGAACTAAAAAACATTTTTAATAAGAAAAAAAAAAAACCTGCCCAGGACTGCCCAGCCAGCTCAGTGGTTGAGCATCAACCTATGAACTAGGACAGTGATGGTGAACCTTTTGAGCTCGGCATGTCAGCATTTTGAAAAACCCTAACTTAACTCTGGTACCGTGTCACATATAGAAATTTTTGATATTTGCAACCATAGTAAAACAAAGACTTCTATTTTTGATATTTATTTTATATATTTAAATGCCATTTAACAAAGAAAAATCAACCAAAAAAAAATGAGTTCGCGTGTCACCTCTGAACTAGGAGGTCACGGTTTGATTGCCAGTGAGGGCACATGCCCAGGTTGCAGGCTACTGAGGTGTGTAGGAGGCAGCCGATCACTGGATTCTCTGTCATCATTGATGTTTCAATCCTCTCTCCCTCTCTTTTCCTCTCTGAAATTAATAAAAAATATATATTTTTTAAAAAGAAAAGCCCTTAAAATACATACATACATGTATACATACACAAATAAATACATTTCTTTTTTACAAAGGGGTATACCGAATTCAAATGGCAGCAAAAATAATTTAGGTGAAATACTAGGAAAAGCTTCTTAATATTAAGGACTTTGACATCTTCCATTCTATCTCTCTTTCCCTCTCCCTTCCTCTCTGAAATCAATAAAAAATATATTTTTAAAGATAAATAAGTAAATAAAAATCTGAATGATGTTAAAAGGGGCACAGCCTCCATAAAAAATCACTAGCTCCTTGTTTAGCTTCTGAATGTCTAGTAGTAAAAATAATACTGTTTTGCCTAGCCGCAAGCACATCATGGAGTACAAGCATGCTCTCTATCGGAAGAGCTTCAGTTTTAGCCTTTCTTGGTTTTGTATGTTTGCATTGTTAGCTGTAGCAGTTACAGAACACGGTGTATGTAGCATGAGCTCGGCAGCTTTCCTGGACCGTAGCCATCGTGCAGGGTTTGCCCACAGTGGTTAGTCAACAGGAAAGCTTCGAATTGCAGATTCATTTTTGAGGCAGTGACCAATTCACTTTCCAAAAATGCTATCTTTAGCTTTACAAAGACTTGTAAAAGACCATTAGTGAGATTACAGCTTGGCAAACTTTTTTCTGTAAAGGGTCAGAAAATAAATACTTTTGGCTAAACAGGCCAGTCAGTCTTTGTCACAACTACTCAACTCTGCTGTTGTAGTATGAAAGCAACCATAGACTATGCAAGTGAGTGGGCAGGACTGTGTTTCAGTAAAACTTTATTTAGAAGAACAGGTGGCAGGTGCAGGGTGGTGGGGGTCAATGGGAAAAAAGGGGGGACATCTGTAATACTTTCGACAATAAAGATAAATTAAAAAAAAAAAAGAAAGAACAGGTGGCGGGCTGGCGGGGGAGAATTATAGTCTGCTGATTCCTGATTTAGGCTATAAAAATACACAACCTCAAAATATACAATAGCATTTATGCTTGTCCCTGATTTTTCTCTACAGGCAAAGGACTGATCTTTGAAAATATGTATTTGGGAGATAGTCACGTTCTGTTGAATACCTTGTGCGGGTGCTGCCACAGAAAAATCTGGTTACACTCCGGGGAGGCCTGCTGCCGCTGCAGGACTGAACCACCTCGGCTCTGAGATGAGCGTCCGGCCTGCGCGGGCACACCATGAATAGGTACACAACGATCAAGCAGCTCGGGGATGGAACCTACGGTTCCGTCCTGCTGGGAAGAAGCATTGAGTCTGGGGAGCTGATTGCTATTAAAAAGTAAGTGTTATTATCCTTCACTCTCATGAATGCATCCTCAGCTACACATTGTCGAAAGGGGAGTGCGCGGGAAGCATGGAGAAGGATCCTAGACACTGATTTCTGGGGGCGAGATGATTGTCGACTCTGGAATGCTCACGTCTGAGGTGCTGAACACATGCCCTTGCATCCTGGGTTTCTGGTTAGCTAATAGGCCTCTCTTCCTCGCCTCAGGCTCCATAGCAGGGATTGGCAAGCTTTATTCAGTAAGGAGCCAGACAGTAAATATTTTAGGCTTTGCAGGCCATATGGCCCCCATCACAACTCAGCTCTGCTGTTGTAGTGTGAACACAGTCATAGACCATCTATATGAATGAGTGTGGTTGTATTCCAATAAAACTTCATTTATGGAAACTGACATTTGAATTCCAGATAATTTTCACATGTCACAAAATCTTCTTTTGATTGTTTTGATTCCAACTATTAAAAAATATAAATGCCATCTTAACTCATGGGCTTTACAAAAACATATGGTGGGGTGGAGTTGGGGTGAGACATAACTTGCCAACCCTTTTACTGGCATGTCTAGAACTGTGTTGTCTAATAGGGTAACAAGTAATCATATGTGACATTGAAATGTAAACTTAATTAAGAATTCAGTTCCTGTGTTGTACTAGCTACATTCCAAGTGCTCGCTAGCCACATGTGTCTGCCTAGTGGTGACCATACTGGACAAACAGAACATTTCCAGGGAAACAAAGTTCTACTGGACAACTCTGGTCTAGGTAAAATAAGAACAAGGGATCCCCTCCATGGCAAGGTTAACTAACTAGTGATAAAGCAAGACGCAGTCCAGGCCTCCTGTGCTACGCTGCACCACCTCTGCTGGGAAAATTGGTGATGTAGGATTGATTGCCATGTTTTAAAATAAATGCTGTTTTGGATAGTATAATATTTGATAGGAATCAAAAACAATCTTAAGCACTAATCATTAGTTTCAGAATGAAAACATGAAAAAGAAAGTTTAGCCTGTGACTAGGAGTAAGCATACTATTTGTTTCTTCTCTTTAAGAATGAAAAGGAAGTTTTATTCCTGGGAGGAATGCATGAACCTTCGTGAGGTTAAGGTATGTATTAATACAATAGGGGATGATTTCTGTATAGTTGATTAAAATAGTCTTATATATGCTTACAATTTTGTTGTTGTTGATATATTCACTCTCTTTGAATTGTTTCACTGATGCCCAAAATAAAGGGGTGGGGGTGCTAACATTATTCAGTTAATAGCTCAAAATAGAAGATTACTTTGCTATTGATGAGTATATTTATTGGTGTATTACTCTTTAAGTTAATCACAGCTTTATTCAGATTTCAATAGCTTCCCACTAATGTTCTTTATTTCAAATTGTGATAAAAACAAATAACATAAAATTTACTATCTTACCAATTTGTAAGTGTATACAATATGAAGTACATTCATATTGTTTTACAACCATCATCACCATCTATCTCTAGAACTCACTTCATCTTGCACAACTCAAACTTTGTACCTATTAAACAGCAAGTAACTCCCCATGACCTCTACCTTCTGTCTCTGTGAATTTGACTGCCCTTACTACCTCAGGTAAGTGAAATCACACAGTACAGGCAGACCTCGTTTTATTGTGCTTCACTGATTGTGCTTCACACATGTTGCATTGTGTACAAATTGAAGGCAAGACCCTCTAACTCACTTCATGGCAGGCCTCGCACATGGAGGTGGTTTAGACCCAAACCCTCAATATCTCTGAGGTATGCCTGTATTTATCTTTTTGTGACTGGCTTATTTTGGTTAGCGTAAATGTCTTCAAGGCTTAGCCAGCTGTAGCATCTGTAGAATTTCCTTCTTTTTAAAGGCTGAATTATATTTCATGGTATGGATGTACCACATTTTGCTTGTCCATTCATCCATTGATGGACACTTGGGTTGCTCTCACTTTTTGGCTATGGTGAACCTCCCCATTTCTTTAAACTCTTCCTTTCCACTGGCTCCTTCTCTCCAATCTCTACTAGTACATGTGCCTGCCATTCTCTCTAATGAGTCTCAGCCCTCTCTTCCCTTGAGCTTCCTCCCCTGTCCTTCCAAACAACACCTTATGCCATCATTTGTCATCTACCATTGACTTTCCACTGAATTGAGTCCGGCGTCTCTCTCTCTGTTACAGAAGCTGCTTGTTGCCAAGTCCAGGATCATTTTCTTTTTTTTTTTTTTTAATTAAATCTTTATTGTTCAGATTATTACATTTGTTCCTCTTTTTTTCCCCCCCATAACTCCCCTCCTCCCAGTTCCCGCCCCACCCTCCGCCCTCACTCCCCACCCACTGTCCTCATCCATAGGTGCACAATTTTTGTCCAGTCTCTTCCCGAATCTCCCACACCCCTTTCCCCCCCAGGAATAGTCAGTCCATTCCCTTTCTATGTCCCTGATTCTATTATAATCAACAGTTCATTCTGTTCATCAGATTATTTATTCACTTGATTCTTAGATTCATTTGTTGATAGATGCATATTTGTTGTTCATAATTTGTATCTTTACCTTTTTCTTCCTCTTCCTCTTCCTCTTCTTAAAGGATACCTTTCAGCATTTCATATAATCCTGGTTTGGTGGTGATGAACTCCTTTAGCTTTTCCTTATCTGTGAAGCTCTTTATCTGACCTTCAATTCTGAATGATAGCTTTGCTGGATAAAGTAATCTTGGTTGTAGGTTCTTCGTATTCATCACTTTGAATATTTCTTGCCACTCCCTTCTGGCCTGCAAAGTTTCTGTTGAGAAATCAGCTGACAGTCGTATGGGTATTCCCTTGTAGGTAACTGAGTTTCTTTCTCTTGCTGTTTTTAAGATTCTCTCTTTATCTTTTGCTCTTGGCATTTTAATTATGATGTGTCTTGGTGTGGTCCTCTTTGGATTCCTTTTGTTTGGGGTTCTCCGCGCTTCTTGGACCTGTAAGTCCATTTCTTTCACCAGGTGGGGGAAGTTTTCTGTCATTATTTCTTCAAATAGGTTTTCAATATCTTGCTCTCTCTCATCTTCTGGCACCCCTATAATTCTGATGTTGGTACGCTTGAAGCTGTCCCAGAGGCTCCTTACACTATCCTCGCATTTTTGGATTCTTTTTTCATTTTGCTTTTCCGGTTGGGTGTTTTTTGCTTCCTCGAATTTCAAATCATTGACTTGATTCTTGCGCTCCTCTGGTCTGCTGTCGGGAGTCTGTATAATATTCGTTATTTCAGTCCGTGTATGCTTAATTTCTAGTTGGTTCCCCAATATAAGATCGAGGGTCTCATTAGTTTTCTTGTAGATCTCATTAAGTTTATCGGCGGCTTCTAAACAGTTCTTGAGAGACCTTAAAAGTGTGGTTCTGGCCGACACCGGTTTGGCTCAGTGGATAGAGCGTCGGCCTGCGGACTGAAAGGTCCCAGGTTCGATTCCCGTCAAGGGCATGTACCTGGGTTGCGGGCACATCCCCGGTGGGGGATGTGCAGGAGGCGGCTGGTCGATGTTTCTCTCTCATCGATGTTTCTGACTCTCTATCTCTCTCTCTTCCTCTCTGTAAAAAATCAATAAAAAATATATATTTAAAAAAAAAAAAAAAAAAAGTGTGGTTCTGAACTCTATATCTTCCATTGACAATTTTGTCCTGTTTCTTTGTCTCCGCATTTTGTTATGCTTCCTTGGTGCACCCCCTAGTGGTCTTTGTTCGAAGTCTTATAGTTAAATCTTGATTGTTGTAGCTAATTCCAGGGAGGGTTTGACCTCCAGGCCAAGTGGCTATGAGAATCAGCTGTGTCAGCAGTGAGAGAACTTCTGTCCTCTAGGGAGGTGCTAATCTAGCCTTTGCCTGAGGCTATCCGGCAAATGCCTCTGTGCAGGGCTTGGGCGGGGCCGGTCGCACAGGATCAACAGGGTGGGCCGGAGAGAGCAGTTATGGCGGCTCTCAGTCCTGTCCCCAGGGGCTCTGCCTCTCTGAGTCCCAGCACCCGCTGCAAAGCTCGGAGAGAAAGCTGCACTCGCTCTGACCAAAGCCAGACAGTCCCGCTTCTCCCGTTTGAGTCTGGGTCCCTAAAGACTCGCCCGGATCTGGAGCTCAGAGTCTGCGACTCCCTCCTGATTGAAAACGCCAACCGCGCCCTCCGCCGCCAGCCCGCTCTGCGCACTCCGCACCTCAGAATTTGACTTCAGCACTGCGCCTCCTCTGAGTGTCTGTATGCGTTTCTCTTTCCTCCTAGTTGTAGGACTTCCACTCAGCCGGCGTTCCTGTGGTTCTGGGTGCTGTCCCTTCCGTTTTTTGGTTTCACTTTTGAAGTAGTTGTTCAAAGCAGCAAACTCCGGCGTTAACCTATGCCGCCATCTTGGTTCTCCTCCAGGATCATTTTCTCAGGCACTTTCTTGCCTGCAGGGTTGGGTGCTGTTGACCACTTCCTCTCCTCTCTCAGGCCTTTGTGACTCTGCTTTTGCTTAGCTGTCCTACCTCTTTCTTGCCTTTCATCACTTCTTCTGTGGGTCCACCCCTTAAATATCGGTGATTTCCTGCATTCTGTTCTTATTTCTTATTCTGTTCTTCAATTTTTTCTTTGCTCTGACACTACTCCTGATTTATGTCATTCAACCCCCCTGCTTCGACAGTCTCATCAGATCCTTTACCTTTCTTATGCATTAGGCCAGGGATTAACAAATGGCCCGAGTTCTGTTTTTGTAAGTAAAATTTTGTCGGAACACAGCCCTGCCCATTTGTTTGCGTATTGTTTATGGCTGACTTCATGCTACAGTGGCAACACTGAGTAGTTGCAGCAGAGACCTCTCACCTAGGGAGCCTAAAATACTTACTCTCTGTCCCTTTGGAGGCGAGTTTGCTCATCCCTGCTGTAGGCCCCTATATCCAAATGCTCAGTGGATATCAGTGCCTGAATTTTCTAGAAAGTCTGCAACCCCCCTGGCGTGCTCATATCTTCTCCCCCTTCTGTTCATTAACATTTACCCAGAAACACAGCTCCTTGTAAGTGGCCTGTGTGATCCCACTGTCCTCGTGTTTCATCCATCCTGTGTGCTGCTGCCAGAATGATCTCCGTGACAGTCAGCTGCTCATACACTATCTACCGTTTATTGAGAGGCTGTTATGGGTGTCTCACTTCATCCCACAACTACCTGATGTGGAAAGTGTTAGGCTCTTGAGTTTTCTCAAGACAACAGCTGAGACCCAGTCTCAGGAACTTGCTTGAGTAAACACACCTCTAAGCCACAAGGCTTGGTTTCAAACCCAGGTTTGTGTGAAGGGTTCAGTCGGTATCCCCCTGGCATCCAAGCAGTGTCTTCCCTGCCCACTTCTCCAGTTAAAGTCTTCCGGAGGCACTTCCTTTAGAACCTAACTGGGGCCATTCCTATTCCTCAGACACGGAGAATGCCACTCCATGCTCACATCCGTACCTGTGAGGGCTCCCCTCCCGACACACCCTTTCCCTCCCACTGAGCTGTCTAGGTGTTACTGTTCCTGAAAGTCACATTCAAATGATACTCACTGACTACTCGGGGTTTAATAATTACTCCTTCTTAAAACACCTCTGATGTTCCTTGCCTCTGTCATTAATAGTCTTCTTAATTTTGTTACATGTATTTTGTCCTCTCTTCTGAATTAGATTGTTTGCCTCTGAAGGGCAGGCACCCCAAGATATCCTTAGGGCCCAGGGTATTGTACAGCAGGTCCTCAAGTAATGCCCTTTCCTTCAAGGTCTTTTTAGAACGCTGATATCAATTAGCCTCGGGTACAATTGATTTTGTTATACACGGTTATACATTGCAGTTCCAAGAACCTACTGATGGTGTTAAGTGAGTACTCACTGTAGTTTTGTTAAAAGTTGATTACAAAAAAAAAAAAAAAAAAAAAAAAGTTGATTACCTTCATGCCTGGGGACAAATGGTCCCTATTCGGACTGCTGACCCAGGTTCAATCTGCTTCTCTGCGTTGATACAGCTGTCCTGCCCCTCCCTCTATTTTGTAGACCTCCTCTGAGCCACAGTAAGATGCCTTCTTTTTGGAAGTATTTCTTATAAAATGAGTCACATGAAGTCCTCCACGCAAAGTTAATTCTTTTGATGTTAAACTAATACATGCTTTAACTTGCTCATGAGTCTCGCTTAGAAATAAGAGCTGTGAGCCACTCAGCCATGGGCCAGTAATTCATGCTCAAAACACACTTCAGGCTAACAACAGAAGGGACTGTATTCCTTGCCTAGAATTCTATTCTTGAAAAATTTTAAAACTTACTTCATTTTCCTCTGAACAAATTTGCTGCTCGTCCCCTGGACATCCCAGCCATTGTGTGGGAGGCACTGTAAGCAAACAGGCAGAAGCGATGGCCGCAGCCTGCAAGAGCCCAGTGAATGCTACTTACAAGTTAAGCAATGTTTGTTTTTGTTACTCATGGAGCATCAGGAATCCAACCCAACTGAAAGAAGTCATCAGCCCAGAGGAGTCATTCTCGAAGGATCTGTCCATTTGGCCCGAACAGCTGAGTATTTCCTGCCAGAGAGGCATGTTGGCAGCGGCTCACCCGGTAGGGAAGAGGCACCAGAGAGTTTTACTTAGCTCTCATTCACTGGCCAGAGTCCCCTCTCCTCCCAGCTGCTTGAAATAACTTGATCTCATTGCACATTCCCAAGCTCTGGTCCCTGGGGTACCTTATCACCGAGTGTCCTTCCAGATTTGGATATTCTGTGTTAACACCTCATCTTCAGGCATTGCGTTTGTTTTATAAGAGGGATGTTCTTTTAAGGAGATTCAAAGATAAAGAGGGCTTTGCAGTGTGTTATTATTGGGCTGCCTTCTCTGTGAGGAAGTGGCTTTTTGAATGACAGGGCTCATCCCACTGGCCAGGGTGACCCTTCGAGGCTTCCTGGAAGGAGCCTGTCTATCAAATTCTAATTGTCTCGTGAGTACACCGGTAGTTGGGTATCTCTGGCTGTCACACATGAATGGGATCGCTGCTCACCATTGACAGAGCTAATGAGGCAAGCAAAAAATGGTTGACACGGCTGTACTCACGAGTGCGTTCCCAGAAGAGGAAAACTGCATGCACGCAAGGCTGAATAATAAGGTCAGGCAGCATTTTCCACGTCACCCTCTTGTTCCTTGTGCCTAGCTTTTACTGCCTTTGCTGTTCTTGGAAGCAGAGCTATTTCTCCCACATCACTTCAGAGTCTTTCCAAAGAGATTTCTCTTCCTTCTCCCTCTGCTTCAGAACTCACAGTGTGAGGAGCACTCTGTCCTCTGGACACGGATGAACCAGATGGAAGTTGACAGAATCAGGCTATCAGCCCCTGTGTGAACAATTTCTCGTTCATGATGTCTGCAGACTGTCAACTGGTGATCTTGCCCCAAGGCGGCTGCCTTCTCCAATACAGGCACACCCCAGACATACGGAGGGTTCCGTTCCAGACCACCGCAATAAAGCAAGCTGTAATCTTGTTTGCCGGTAGAGGGTCTTGCCTTCAATTTGTAAAAAACAAAACACAACACAACATCTGTGAAGCACAATATAGTGGAGTGCAATACAACGAGGATTGCCTGTGCTAGAACAGTCAAAGCCTCATCTTCCAATAGATTCCTCTCTCCACCTCCCAGGAATGAGTTCTGTTATCTGGAGGGAACACACCTCAGGTAGCCCTGGCCCACTGCCTGGTCCTGGCGGCACCAGATATACCAGTTAAGATTACACATTTACCGTTCGGTCAGTTAAGATAGTTTTTCCATGTACAGTTGCTATGGATTTCATAGACATATCATTTATGAAATTGTTGTTAAAATATGAATTGTGGTCTTCCTGTGGTTGTAGAATTAGGTGTTTCTTCCTAAGTCTACATGGGGTTACTTTTCTTTTTCAGCAATAGAACCTCTCTTTTTGTTTTTCTTCCTCGCCTTTCAGTCTTTAAAGAAGCTCAACCATGCCAATATAGTAAAACTAAAAGAAGTGATCAGGGAGAACGATCATCTTTATTTTATCTTTGAGTACATGCAGGAAAATCTCTACCAGCTCATTAAAGAAAGGTACGTTTGGTTTTCATGATCTTAGAAATAACTATTGCAAAGTGGACGTGTTTTCTTTCTGCTTTTCTTTTTTATTTTATCAGTCCTGTTCCTCGGGCTGTGCTGCTTAAAGCTGCCTGTTAGAGAAGGGGCCAGACCCCCAACCCTACTTCAGAGGCCTTGTGCTGGCATCATCGAAGCTAGTTTCAATGAAGCTGTTTTCATGTTTTAATGGCTTATTCACCCAAAGGAGCTCAGACATGTAACAGGCATTCTGTAGTTCTCCATTCCCACAGGGACATGTGGGCAGAGCAACTGCAAGTCAAGGTGTAAAAGCTTCATTCACTCTGAGACCTCCATCGAAAACTTCTGGGTTTATTTCCATTCCTTTCTCGCCACAGTGCTCAGGGGCTTGTGCACGGGGCAGAGGAGTCTAAGAAAAAATTTACCTGCTATGGTAATTAGGAGCTTTAAAAGTGAGCCATGTAGAACCTCTAGGGCACATTTTCTTGGTGGCAGATGAAAGCCATTCGCAGAATCCCTCTGAGTGATTTCAGCGGACAAGGATTGTCTTTATTGAAAATCATAGCAAAGAAGATGCGTAGTTTGCCTAACCAGGAGGAAAATGTTACTCTCTACTACATGTCATAAAGCCTCAAATTTTCCCCATTAAAATTTTTTAAAGTTTTAGTTTATATTACAGAGAGGAGATGTTTATATGTTACATTAGAGGGAATTTTGTTGGGGGGGTTACTATAAAATATTTCATCATTACTTCTTTGTAACATAATTAAATATATTTGGTGTGTATGGGCAAATAGTTGTTTGTTTTTTTGCTCTGTATTATCAAAAGATCTGGTCAAATTAGCACGTGAGCCAATGTTTGCACAAGTTCTTACTATATAACCAAAATGAATCCCATTTTCATTTGTAAATCTAGACTTATAACTTTTTTCCTCTGCTCCATACAGAAATAAGTTGTTCCCTGAGTCTGCTATAAGGAACATCATGTTTCAGATACTGCAAGGACTTGCATTTATTCACAAACACGGTAGGTGATTTGGATTATTGTTCCTCTGAATAGCAGTGAAGTGTTGTCATCAGGTGGGTGCAGGAAGCATCCGTGTATCTTGCAATTGACTCCCGGAAAAGGTGGAAGAGTTGGGAGGTTGACGATGGATTTTGGAATACGTTACCTTCCATTACTTGATTTCTGAATATCCCTCATTACTCCTCATGTCTGCATATTCTTCTTCTTTGGGCTTTAACGTTAAGCTTGTTAGTTATAGATCTAAAATCATTCCTGACCATTCAATGGTGTATTAATGAGAAACCTAAGATTAGAATTCAGGGAAATTTCACATATTATGTTTGTCCCACTAACACTGATTTACAGTGGCTTCTCGTTTTCCTAATGTATTTATATTTTAGTTGTTCAAAGGGGCTCAAAAATAGTCTAACAAGGTTTATGCAACACAGGAAAATTAAATGAATTAAAAATTAGCAAAGAAAGAAAAAGGGACAGGCCAAACAAGCTACAGGATAGCTATAGCCAGGGGTGAGGTTAACCCACAAAATGCATCTCGACCTCTTTTACTTAAGTAGAAGAAGCAGGCTACAGATTCGATTCTGAGCTTGCTTTCTGACAATGAGAAATGTGAAACATGACAGATTACAACCTACATAGTTTCCCTGAGGTAAAAACAGTCCATTTGCCCAAGAGAAGCAGACTATTCTTGGTACTGAGATCAGGGAGGTTCTCTTATGTGTCCTTGTCGGGGAAATAATATGTAATGTGGCTTCATGGTGAACACAGTGACGTGGGGAAGTTTCATGTCACTTCCCTCAATACAGGCCAATTATATCACCTGATTTGAGAAAACAGTCCTACTGAGAAAATAGTTCTACTGAGGCCCAGGATAATTCACTCTGGGGATGGTCTGGTTAGTCTAAGGAAAGAGAGTGTTTAGAATAATGGATGGTGCATACTCTTTAGGAAAGCCTCTATCACTTTTGTCCTTCTTAGCTGAGCTTTTGAAAGATAATGAGTAGCAGTGAGTTTGAGGTTATGTTTTCCAGCAAGTTTCTGGGGCATCACTAGTCCTTGTTACTAACTGCACGCGGTCCACCTGGGGATGGATCGATACCTCCTCGTGAGCACAGAGCCGTGGGATGGACATGTGCACCAGTAGAGCCAGGAGATCCTTCCGGAGGTCATTTGAGGTCACTTTTGTATATAGACAGATGGGCTAAGCAGCTGATCTTGCACAGGTAGAAATCTGTTCACTCCCAGTGTAAGGATATCATTGCTGTTGCAAATATTGCACCAACAAATGAATTTCCTAGTAAGGAAACTGGGTGGAAACCCTTTGATAATACAGTCAGTTCAGATTTGACAGAGGTTGGTAGTGAGTAGAAAAGACCTCGTGCCTCCATCCATCTGGGATTGTTCCCAGCCTGTTCTTTAACCCCTAAGTAGCCTCTCACAGTTAGAGACTAAATAAAACACAAACAACAGACAGGCTATCCGTACAAATCCTTGTCAGCTTCAGGCACATGCTGAATAACCAGTGAGTAATTGCAAGACTGAGTCAAATTGTGAACCAGTTCTAGTGAAAAGATTTTAGTAAAAGGTATGTCTGATTCTGCTGACATTGATAGAGCTAGCACTGTAACCTGTATTCACCAGAATTCACAAGGCATAGTATGAATTTGCAAAACACGAAAAATTTATAGTAAGACATTAGGAACAAATGGGGGGAGTCACTTACTAGATTTAAGAGCCCAGGAAAAAGAAATGATAAGAAATCAAGGAGAGAAAAAAAAGAATCAAAGAGATTCTCAAAGGAGAAAGGTCTTCAAATGTCTTCAAAGGTCCCAGAATGTCTTCAAATCAGGACCAGCGATGGCATCTCAGTTGCTCGGGCTCCTTGCTCAGTGCTGGAAACTGAGTGGGGACCTAAAAGAAAGTTAAATTCTTTGACTTTCTCTTCTTTTGCTGCTTTCATGAGACTCAGATATGTTTCCAGAAAGAGCATGTAGCCTTTTATCCAGGTCTCTAACTCATCGAATGAATATGTGCACATACCCTCATACATGTGCATACACATCTACATGTATAAATACCCACATGTGCCTATATCTACATATACACCCCTCCCTACACACACACACACACACAACACATAAATACATATCTAATAATTTAGCATCCTTATACTATTGTGTCAAAACAGTTTTTTGTAACTCCACACTATCAGCTCGCTTACACGCCTTAGACTTGTTACAAGTCCCAATGCACAAAGTTTTGCAAATATTAGCACATTGAATTCTGCAAAATAACCCTACAAGGTAGATGCTGTTATTGCCCCATTTTACAGATGAGGAAAGTGAGGCACAGAGGGGTTAAATAATTTGGGATTTGAAATCGGATTGTGTATGAGAAGCTGGGTTTATTGAGAAGGTCAAACCACCTTTACTTTATAACCCCAGCACCGTTGCTATGACCAGTTTCTTGACACTTTCCCCAGCTGTTAAGTGCCCAGTTCTAGGTATAACTTAGTAACTTTTCATCTGTCAATTTATTTCCATGCCAATTACTCAAATAGAAAGGAGAGCTGGTATCTGTTCCTTCCAAAGAAGTCTAGAGAGCTTTAAAGACCTGCCGCAGGCCCCACTGCAATGAAGTGGAAGAGCAGAGATCAGCTCAGATACCTGTGTCCACTGGCCACACTTCACTAGACAAACCTATCTTCCCAGCGAACAAGAGAGTAAGAGGTTAAGTAAATAGTGATAATATTTGTAGGTGGATATTAATTTTACAGGTCCCACCTCATTTTCATTGATAAATGATTTCTGGAAACTTCTTAATGGTATTTATATAGGATCGACTTGACTCTGGTTAAGTGCACAGGTAACTCCATGTTATTTCTTTTCTCCAATAATGGAAAGAAAAATCACCTAAGGCACTTCAGAGTGAGTCTCAGGCTCCTCCCTATTGCTCATCCTCACTGTGAGAAGGCGAGTTCTGTCCCCGGGGAGCAGACTCCTCTGAGAGGGGAGAGCCGCCCTGCGGGTAGTCAGTTGCTATGGCCGTAGTCCATGTCACTGAGCCCTTTCCCCGCCCAGGGAACGAAGACACCATCCTGCTTGGGGCCGATTGAGCAATGCCAAAGCACACGCACTTTGCGGAAATTAAAAAATGAATGCACACTGTGTTTCTTCCTTAACCTGCCCTTGCACATATGCAGGTCACACTCATCCATGCCAGTAATCAGAAATGCATAGCTGGCTTGAGAACAATGTTTTGCCCCAAGAAGTGGCTCTCTGCTTCTGTGTTTCATCGCTGTCTTCCTGTGCATGACATTGAGTCAGCCCTTGGCCTTTCTGTGTGTTGCTGGCCTCGTGGCCTTCTTTATAAAAACGTTGTAGGTTTCAATTCGGTAATATCTGTGAAATTACACCTCCCATCCCAGGAAGGTGTGCTACATGAATTCATAGTGGTTAAGTATTCTCTAGTTATTTCCCCATGTTCGTATCAGGTTCATCATTAGCAGGATGTGGCAGAGGGGAGAAAGCCTTCTTTGTGGCTTCGTGGTTTCCTTGCCCCCGGGCTCGTAATGAAAAGCAAGCACAACGCATTTTCTGCCAGAATGAAAGAGGAAATTCTTCTGTTATTCGGTTGGCGTAGGGGACCCTGAAATTAGATTGAAGGGCTGATCCTGAATTATGAAAGCCAAACAGTTTTGAACAGGAAGGTTTATCTTAATAGCACTTTGCTGTTGCATGACCCCTGAATGACCCAGCTCTAAGGATTTGCATTGTGGATCGGAAGTGGAGAGGGAGAAGTGGACTCTTGTGACAAGTCCCAAAGCACGCATCCTCAGAGCGAGGACCCAGCCAGGAATCAGAGCAGAGCTTGCACCACCTCCTCACAGGTGGCGGGGCACATCACTAGCCTCACAGCCTTGATTCTTTGCATCTACAAAAGTGAAGCCGTGTCTGCCTGTTCACTTTACCAGGTTGCTGGGAAGAGAAAATGATAGGATTCATACTACTAATACCAACAAGCTCTGGCAAGGTGCCAACATGCTAAGTGCTGCTGTAAAAGCTGTGCAAACATTAACACATTGAATCCTGCAAAACAACCCCACAGGTAGATGCTGTTATTCCCCCATTTTACAGGTGAGGGGAGTGAGGCACAGAGAGGTTACGTGATTTGCCAGCCAGTGAACAGAATTGGGACTTGAAACTGGGCAATCTGATTGGTCTGCACAACTTACCACTATGCAGTATTGCCTCTCATGTGGTAATGTTTTGTTAAAATAGAGATGAGAAGTAAATGTACATGGCAGGAGGGCCTTATACTTTTAATTACCAAGGAATAGAACGCATGGGCATAAAGCTAATAATAGCTCTTGCCATTATTCAGTAATGAAAAGGACAGAGGGCTAGATTCTGCAGACATATTCATGAATGTTCCTAGTTATAAAGGCTTATTCTCAAATACAGTATAACAGACAACACATGTCAACTGACAGATACCATTTTCACCAGCCAATTTTAAGGGTCTGTTTGCAATTAATTTATTTCCCCCTAGCCATTTTCCCTCTGATTATTTATTTGGGGCCTGGTGTGATCCATAGAAAAGAAAGCTGCTAGAGGGACATAAGGTGAACCAGAATCTTCCCTCTCCTCATTTCATTAGTGCTCATGTTCTCTGTGGAAGTGGAATTAAAGAGGGAGAGGGTAAAGCTGGACTGGTGGGAGGGGATCATGCGTGTTTACAGGAGCATGACCAGCATGGAAGCAAGGAGTGCGAGAATACTTGCATCTGAGCACAGGACGATGTGGTGGGATGCACAGGAGAAGATGCAAGTGTGTTGAGGTGGGTGTTGTAGATGGTGGCAGTGGAGCTTGGGGGCTGGAGAACAAATGACTCATAAATGCCACGAAAGTTTAGAAATAATAATTTAGCCCTACAAGAGGAGAGAGAGGGAGTTAAGAGGAGAAGCAGCATTAATATGGACTTGCGAAGACCAGAACCACACACCTAGATTAGCTTTGTGGGTTGGGAGGGACAGAGTGGAGCTCCGTAGTATAACAGCTGTGGTACCTTTCTTGGTAGGATTGTGAATGATTCACCCACCCACCATGACTCACCTCTCCCATCTGTTCAGTCAGAAAACAGTGTCTACCATTTCTTTTCTCATTGAGGCGTTTGGTTTTTGTTGTTGTTAATCCTCACCCAATTATATTTTTTGTGTTGACTTTTAGAGAGAGTGGAAGGGAAGAGGTAGAGGAAGAGAGAGACAGAGAGAGAGGGGGAGAGAGAGAAACATAAATGTGAGCAAGATACATTGATTGGCTACCTCCCACATAAGCCCCCACAGGGGCGGGGATTGAACCCTTGACCCTTCAGTGCATGGACCTATGCTCTAACCACTGAACAATGCTGGCCAGAGCTCATTGGGGTGGTTTTAATTCTCTGAGTTTTTGGGAAGAGAGACCATGGTCTCATGTTCATATATCTTCAGGGGCCACGGGAGTCTTCCTGGGTGCACTGGCGAAAGGTCACTCTCTAATAACTGCGTGTGAATGTTCACATTCTTAAGTCAATTCCAAGATGGGAGCATGCCTTCGGGCCTTCTGGGAGCTGGATGGTGCTCTGAAGAACAGAGGGTCCAAACACAGTGACTCAGTCTCGGAAGAGACCTCGCCCACTCTGGTGGGCACTGATCATCTTTATTTAATTAGGCTGAGCAGAAGCCATCCAAATTTGCCCACATCTGACATTCTTTCTTTCATTTTAAAGGCCATTTTTGACTAATACTGAATTACTGTTTGAATTTGAACCAGCCTCAAGTTTGGTTCTTCCTATAATTTAGGTTTAATTTACTCTTACTTTGGTTAGGAAACTTAAGGAATTAGTATGAGGAAGGCCATTAGTTATATATTGGTACAATGTTAGGATAAAGAAACAATGGAATATATATAGATATAGATATAGTATGTATAGTATAGTATGTATCTATATTTACATATCTATATATGTATATATACAGTATACTACCTTTCTACACCCATATATGCATATAAACACTCAAAGCTATATACATACATGTACTACATATACATATGCTATACAAATAGAAAATTCGCTGTGCCAGTCTCTGGTCTAATCCAGGTCTAACTGCTTGATCTTCTCAATGCCTTGGATGATGGAAAAGAAAAGCAGCTCATTGGTGGACGGAAGCACTTCCTCTTCTCCCCTGTGGCCCTCTTGAGTGTATGCGATCACTTCTGTACCTTCAGCCCTTCTACGTGGACTGGGTTCTTGGCTCTGTAATTATATTCACCTGGTCCATCTTAGCCAGCCATTCACCTTACAGACCCATCATTATGTTGTAACACGAACCACGTGGAGCTTGACCTCGTACTGCGCTCTGGTGTCTCCAGATGATGAACAGAGAGGAGTGTCCTTTTATGAAAACACTGTTGCTTCTGTGATGCAGGACATCTAGTGCAGTTTTCACATGTAACTACGTTACAGTCACCCAGCTCTTCCTTTCGAACAGAGAGGGGTTTTAGAAAATGACCTTGACTAGTAGATTCTGTCCTGCTGGAACGCCCTCTGTGACGAGAACTTCCCACTCTGAGCCCTTAGTGTCTCCCACACTGCGTCAGGGTCATCGCTCTTCTCTCAGTTCTTAGCTGCTGTCTTGTGAGGTTTCCTACCTCCCACCTTCCCAACAGCCCTGGTCTGCTCTCTGTTGCCCCTCCCTATTTGACCCAGGTTTATTTGTCATCATTTGTCTTCACGTTCCCTACAAATCTATTCAAGTCCTCGGTCAATCAGTAAGAATATGTTATGAGGACACCATGCTCCGGCCACTGCATGAGACATCCAGAAGAAATATAACTGTGGCCCCTACCCTTAAAGTGCTACATCTAATTTCTGAGAGATGGTTAACATGCCCGAAAACGATAGCAGTCTGCTCAGGTTTACTGGGGAGGGCCTATTACATCTACCAAGGCAAAAACCATGTCCATTTGGGTTTTGCTTCTGAATCCATGGAGCCTAACCCAGTGCCTGGCATGGAGTGGGCCCTCCTTGAATATCTATTGGTAGAATGAATGAATAAATGAATGAATGCTAATATATTGGAATGGCTTCATGGAGGAAGGGAATCTCAAAGAAAATCTTAAAGCATGAGAAAGATTGGGATTGGTATAGTCAAAAAGTACAAGGGGACAACATTGTTAAAGGAAATAAATACAATGAACCAAAAGAAAATGAGGAATTTTACTTGTTTGGAACACACTTTACACATATTGGTGGTAAATATCCTATATAATAAGAGAGGAATGTGCTAATTATCTGTTATACCATAATGTCACAACCAATCCACAAGTGGTGGAGAGCTACAGGACGGCGGGGCAGCGAGCTATGAGCAGAAGAGAGCTACCATCGGCAGTGGGCGGGTGGATAACTGAGGCAAGCAGCAGCAAGCTACTCGCACACAAATTCGTGCGCAGGGCTACTAGTTGGAAAATAATTTTGTCTCTTTCGACAGACTGAAAGGAGTTTCAGGTTTGTTAAATAATTTTATAAGGAGCCATGGAAGGTTTTTGTTGTGTGTGTTTGTGGATGGGACAGTGACAGAATGGTGTTTGAATTATCAGGAAGAGTGGGAATCCAGCAAGCTAGAGTGAGGATGGCCTGCTAGAAAGGGGCAGTGCAGGGATAGGCCGCAAAAGGTAGGTTTTGGGAGGGGCCAATGAGCAAGGGCACAGGGGACAGATATGAGGAATTTTTTTTTTTTTAAATATATTTTATTGATTTTTTACAGAGAGGAAGGGAAAGGGATAGAGAGTTAGAAACATCGATGGGAGAGAAACATCGATCAGCCGCCTCCTGCACATCTCCCACTGGGGATGTGCCCGCAACCCAGGTACATGCCCTTGACCGGAATCGAACCTGGGACCTTTCAGTCCGCAGGCCGACGCTCTATCCACTGAGCCAAACCGGTTTCGGCGATATGAGGAATTTTGATGAGAAATGTGACAGTTAGGATCCAACCTAACCATGAGGCATCTGGGTATCTTATCAAAGGTTCAAGAAGGAGAGAGAGTCTGGAACAGGCTGATGTGGAGATGACAGTGATATTCAGCTGTGATGATGAGAGACATAGGTCGAGAAAAGGGTGGAGGAGGACATTAGAGATGTGCCTTACCAGCAGAGAGTTGGTTGAGGAATAGTGTAGATCTTCAGTGATGGCTATTAACTTCTCCCATAATGCGCTAGTTGGATCCTAACTTTCACAACCTTGATAATAATAGCACATAACAAATAACACTATGAGCAGCATCAACGGAGTTGTATTTCCAGTTTGGGTGTTCCATTGAGATTAAGATGTCTATGTCAGCAATGCCCTCTGTAAGTGGGGGGTTCTGGGTTTTCAGAGGCATATACCACTGACAGTGGTTGTCTGAGTGCGCCTGGAAGGTTGGCATGTTGAATGTCTGCTGCATGTGCCCCCAAAGCTTTGCTAAAGCTGAGGCCAGCTTCCCATTTGATGAGTTAGCTTTGCCTTTCAAGACATGAACTGCACCTCTACTTCTTCATTAGGCAAAGTAGTATTTAATACTTAAACATCTGTGGCAACACACAGCAGAATCTCAGCTATGTGTCCTATTCATAAATCCCTTGTTTCTTGAACAAAAATTGTAATTGTGTTTCTGCTCTGGTATAAACTCTTAGTACCCATAAGACTCATCTTTTTTTTTTAAATATATTTTATTGATTTTTTACAGAGAGGAAGGGAGAGAGAGAGAGAGTTAGAAACATCGATGAGAGAGAAACATCGATCAGCTGCCTCCTGCACATCTCCCACTGGGGATGTGCCCGCAACCCAGGTACATGCCCTTGACTGGAATCGAACCTGGGACCTTTCAGTCCACAGGCCGACGCTCTATCCACTGAGCCAAACCGGTTTTGGCAAGACTCATCTTTTGAAATGATATTTTTTTTCCTTAAATGACAGTTGTTTTTTTTTTGCAAAGTTATCTCAGCCCATAATTGAGTTTTGATTTTTTACTTATTTATTTTTAATTTTTTACATTCAACTTTTATTTATAATAGTGAAAAATGAAAAGACAGCTTAAATGCTCAAATAGAAGAATTGGTATGTCAGAGATAATTTATCCAAATGATGATATTATGCAGCTATTAAGGCTTTTTAAAAAATAAGAAAACAAGGAATGAAATGAGAATCGGATACAGAAACTAGGGAAGAACTCTTTGAAGATTTTTTTATGTCTCGTTCTTGACAGATTTATAGAAGTATAAATTGCAGACATAAAATTTTTGATGTTTTAGAATAAGTTTTCTCTCTTGGAAAAAAAAGTATGATGTTCAACTTTGGAATAATTTTACGTCTTGAATTCATTAAATGAAGTCCTTTGAGAGGTCTGAAGGACTCTATTAGTAGGATGGATGTATAGAGCCTTCAGTGTCATACCTGAATTATAATTCAAATTATGGCAGTTATGAAAAGAGCGATACAGCTGGGAAGAGTATAACGCAGAGGCCAGCTTGCATTTGGATTCCTTCTCCACTTTCTCTCAGGCTTCTTCCATCGGGACTTAAAGCCTGAGAACCTGCTCTGCATGGGACCAGATCTTGTGAAAATCGCAGACTTTGGATTGGCCCGGGAAATCCGATCCAGACCTCCATACACAGATTACGTATCTACCAGATGGTGAATGCCATTTTCTTCAAAAGTATTTGATTACTTTTCTTTAAAAATATGTCATTATACTGAGGGTGCTATTCATGTCACAAACGTTAACTTTCACTAGGAGAAACAGTGCAGTTTACAACATATGTGTAAGCAGTTGGCATTGTGCAAGGGTTAAAAGCTTGTGTTGTAAATAATTTTTAAAGGAAATCCATTATGCTTTTCCATAATATGAGTCATATTTTATAGACTTTCGTAAAGACCATTTACAAAAGAGTTGTGTAAAAGATTCTCCAAAGACCTATCTGAATAACTGCTATTATTAAAACTTCCAGACCCTAAGAATTTGCTTTAAGTTGTTGGCCATGAGCAAGAAGTAGCCTACAGACAATGTTTTTACATTTTCCCTCTCCCTCTCCCTCTCCCTCTCCCTCTCCTCTCCCTCTCCCTCTCCCTCTCCCTCTCCCTCTCCCTCTCCCTCTCCCTCTCCCTCTCCCTCTCCCTCTTCCTCTCCCTCTCCCTCTCCTTCTCTCCCTCTCCTCTCCTCTTCCCTCTCTCTCTCTTCCTCACGTTTATTCTCACTCTGCATTTCTCAAAGAGGCTGCAGAGAGGAGTCCTGTAGAGACATGTGCAATAGAAACGACCCTAAGATAGAGAAGCATTGCTTTTTGACAGCAGCCACAGCAGCTGCCAATCTCCACGCCTGCATGTACCGCACTGAGATACAGATAGTGGAAATGTGTAAACTCTCTCTCTGAGGGCTGATGATATATTTAACTTGCTCTGACCAGTGGAGGCAGTAACAGGCAGTGCCCCTTTGTCCCTCCAGGTACAGGGCCCCCGAAGTGCTCCTGAGGTCCACCAACTACAGCTCCCCCATTGACATCTGGGCCGTGGGCTGCATCATGGCCGAGGTGTACACCCTCAGGCCACTCTTCCCGGGGGCCAGTGAGATCGACACAATCTTCAAAATTTGCCAAGTACTGGGGACCCCGAAAAAGGTAAGCCGGCTCCCCAGGCTCCCTGGCCTCCACTGTGCCATGACCACCTGCTCCTTCTGGAATCTTTCTTTTGGCCTCAGCAATCCTCCATACCCACCTCTCAGACATGCCCATGCCCTAAGACACACCCACCTCTCAGACCTGGCCCTCACTCCCTCCTTCTGCTCTCTCTCACTTTTTATTAATTTTAATTTTTTATTATTTTTTAAAATACTTCTTTATTGTTGAATGTATTAAATATGTCTCCTTCCCCTCCCCCCCATGACCCCCTCCAGACTGCCCCTGCCCCCCACCCCAGGACCTCACCACCCCATTGTCTGTGTCCATGGGCCATGCATAAATGCAGATAAGGTCCTTGGTTGATAACTTCCCACCCACCCACCCACCTGCCCCTGCCTTCCCTCCGAGATTCCATTTTTATTGATTTCAGAGAGGAAGGGAGAGGGAGAGAGAAAAACATCAATGAAGAGAGAGAATCATTGATCAGCTGCCTCCTGCATGCCCCCTACTGGAGCTGGAGCCCACAACCCTGGCATATACCCTTGACCAAAATCAGACCCTTCAGGCTGACGCTCTGTACACTGAGCCAAAACAGCTAGTGCCTTCCTTCTGCTCTTAAGTAGAAGACATTTGTCCTGGCTCCCTCTACTCTTCTCTCCATGGCACTTCACCTCCCTTGTAGCCTTTCTCTGTTCTCCTGGCCACAGCACTTAGGAGCTATTCAGAAGTCTCCTAAAGGCAATCTGTAGCCCTCACCTCCCTCCTTTGCAACTCCATTCACATAGTTACATCTCTCTGTGAAAGGCGCTCCCTGCACCCTTACCAAACCCTCGAACTCAACACATCTGACAGTTTGCTTTTTTAAACTTCTTCCAAAGAACACAAACATACTGCAATTTTTTCTTTCCGTTTTACTGAGATATAATGGACACAGGTTTAAGATGTGCCAGACGGTTTTTCATTTACCCCCACTGGCTTCTTGCTTTCATTCTCCATTTTTGTCTGTGGTCCCATCATAGTCCCAGAGCCCCAGCCTTGAGGCTGAGTGTCCATTTTACTCTCCCTCTTTCCCTTACTCCCCTTCCCCTCACCTAAGTAATGGGTCCTTACGTCCTGTTGACCCTCGCTGCACAGTCTCTCACGAGGCCCTCATCCTTGGAGTCCACTGGCCCCATCACAGACTGGGCCGTGCTCGCCCTCCCTGAATGGGGGTATCAGTCTTTCTGCCTTCAAGTCTTTTTCCCTCCAGCTAATCTTTCCGTCTGCAGCCAGTTCACCTCCTTAAAGAACAGCTCTGGTACTGGCGTCCCCTCCTAAAAATATTTTCTGGCTCCTATCACCAGCCACCTTAACTGTCATTCTCTGTCCCCCACTTCATACCCGTACCCCCACACCATGCACCTTGGAATCTCCGCACTATAGTGCTCTGCCTGACTGAGGTCTCTCCCATGACCCCATCCGCCATTTTTCCAAGGCCCCGCAATCTTTCTCCTCACAGTTTCTCCTCTCCTCTTCGCCTTCCACTGTGATCTGTGTTACTAATATAATCATTTGTGTCCATATCTGTTACCTGGATGTTACGCTCATTCAGGGCAAGGATTTATCTTGTGTTTATTTGTGTTTCTTTTTCTGGGTCCTAGCTAGCATCATTGCTGGTACAAATCAGTCCCTCAAAAGAAATTACTAAATCATTTGAATGAATCACTGATGGCACCACTTCAAGATTTCCAGAGTCTCCTGCCGGAGTCTCCCCTCCTTGGGATAACTGTGTCTACCTCTCGTGGCCCTAGTTACTTTTTATTCTGAATTACTGCTTTTAAATAAATATCTTATTTTCTCCTTTGGACAGTAATTTCTGTAAGGGCAGCATTTATATCAGATTATTTTTGGATACCCAATGCTACGGCTATAGCAGGCCCTCAGTAATTATCTACACTTGATCTTAGCCAAAAGGCCGAGAAGCGATACAGTAATTATCTAAGTGAATGAATGATATGAGCAATACATAATGCCACTTTGCTTTTTAAAAAAAAGCAATTACACCAGAGTGTGTCTTGTAAAATAGTGGAGTGTTGGAGTTAGAAGGGACCCGAAGATTATTTGTTCGTCCTTTCCCCTCATGCACTTCAGCATTTAGTCATGGGTATGATGGGTGGAAAAGTGGGGAACTTGAGATTGCGTGGGACTGCTTTCTTTACCTCTGGACTTCATCAAGATGGGGATATGTAGGTTTTGATAAATTTATTTAACTGGGGACAGGTGCTTTGTTTTATCTCCCCCCCCCCCCCCCAAAAAAAAAAATCTCATTAGCAGTTTCTAAAACCTCTGTCTCATGGAACACAGTTGGGAAAATACTAATTTGGTTCAACCCCCAAATCTCAAGAGAGGCGCTATCTTTTTTTTTTTTTTTTAACATATTCTATTGATCTCTCACAAAGAGGAAGGGAGAGGGATAGAGAGTCAGAAACATCGATGAGAGAGAAACATTGACCAGCTGCCTCCTGCACAACCCCCCACTGGGGATGCGCCCGCCACCAAGGCACATGCCCCTAACTGGAATCGAACCCGGGACCCTTCAGTCCGCAGGCTGACACTCCATCCACTGAGCCAAACCGGTCAGGGCGAGAGGCACTATTTTGTGTTAAGGTTATACAACAGGTTGGTGGCAAATCCAGTGTCTTTTTCTACGCTTTCTCAGACTTCATGTACTTTCTATTCTCCCCGTTAGCATCCTCTGTCAGTCCTCATGGTGCCACCAGAATGGATATGGATGTGGTCATGACATGATTGCCTTTCCGTTGTAGGCACACATGCCAGGATATGCACTCCTATCACAGAGAGTGGCTGAGCAAGATTTTTTATCTTTCTTTCAGACCGACTGGCCAGAAGGCTACCAACTTTCAAGTGCTATGAACTTCCGCTGGCCCCAGTGTGTACCCAATAACTTAAAGACCCTGATTCCTAATGCTAGCAGCGAAGCCATTCAGCTCCTGAGAGACCTGCTTCAGTGGGATCCCAAGAAACGGCCAACAGCTAGTCAGGTTTTCTTCCATCTTCTTCTGTGGGATGCATTTCTTATGAAGTTCATATCTAACTCTGAATGAGTCCTGTAATCTCATAGGAAGTACTTTATTTGGTATTATGGGTAAAAAAAATAGTATAGAATACCACTATTGGTGTATCTATACTAATAAAAGCGTAATATGCTAATTAGACCAAACAACCTTCTGGATGTCCTCCTGGACAAAGCCGTGGTGGCAGAGGCCAAGGCAGAGGCGGTTAGGGGTGATCAGGCAGGCAGTAGAGCAGTTAGGGGCATCAGGCCGGCAGGGGAGGGCAGTTAGGGGCATCAGGCCGGCAGGCAGAGGTGGTTAGGGGCATCAGGCAGGAAGGCAGGCGAGTGGTTAGGAGCCAGCGGTCCCTGTGGGATCGGGCCTAAACCGGCAGTCAGACATCCCTCGAGAAGTCCTGGATTGGAGAGGGTGCAGGCTGGTCTGAGGGACCCCCCCCCCCGCCCCATGCACTAATTTCATGCACCAGGCCTCTAGTTATATATAAGAACTTAAAATAGTTTGAAACTTGTAAAGTTAAAGTAGTCAAGGTTTAAACAACATAGTTGCTTTGGAATGAGGAAATGGGCTCAGAAAAGTGAAGTATTCCATTTAAGACATATAGGAAATAATAAGTTACAAAGCTAGGAGCTGTATTGAGCCAGAATACTTTTCAGAAGTAGCAAAGGTAATAGCAGTGTAACTGGCTGCTTTAGTGAGATAATTTTAAGTTCATACATTCGATAATACTTTAGATAAGAAAAGCCACAAGGGGTGTTACAGATTCAAGGTGCTGGCAAACATAGATTTGTGAGTACAAGAAATACAGAGTTTATTCTTTTATATTATTTATTAATTATTGTATTATTTTCCATGCAAACAACTATAAACCTACTTTGCCCCACCCTGTAGTTGGTTTGGGCTAAGAAATTGCAGTAAACTGGTCAATGAGTGAGTTGATGGTGCTAACCTGCCCACTAGACTTTTCTCCTAAAGCAGCCATATGTTTGTTCCAGGCGCTCCGATATCCTTACTTCCAGATTGGGCATCCCCTGGGCAGCACCACACAGAGCCTTCAGGATTCCGGAAAACCACAGAAGGACATCCTGGAAAAGGCAGGCCTGCCACCTCACATTAAGCCAGTCCCTCCTGCCCAGCCCCCGACCAAGCCACACACTCGGATTTCTTCGAGACAGCATCAAGCCAGCCAGCCCCCTCAGCATCTCATGTACCCCTACAAAGCAGAGGCGTCCAGGACAGATCACCCGAGCCATCTGCCGGAGGACAAGCCAAGCCCCTTACTCTTCCCATCCCTCCACGCCAAGAATCCTCCAGCGGTAAGCGGCGAAATTCACTAGTGCGCCTCCTGTCTGGCCTATTCCTCTTCTACTAGTACCTCACTTACTGTGTGACCTGTTTTCCTTTTCAGCATATAGAGTGTAACTGTGATAAACGTACCTTTGTAACATCATGGACTTGTGAAAAGAGCTTTGGCCTTGGCGTTAAAGGGCTAAGTTCAATGGCCCTGTGCACATGATCCCGCCTCTCTGCTCCTCACTTCCTCTCTGTAAAATAGAGATAATAACACCTGCCTGAAAGAATTCTTTTGAGCACTAAATGAGTTAATACTTGAAAGAATTTAAACGAATACCTGGCACCTGGGAGGAACTTAATAAATATTAGTCATTGATGCTGATCCCTGTGGACTCAGTTTCCTCATCTGTAACAGAAAATCATTACATCTGTCTTGCCCACCAGACAGGGCTGTTCAAGAGGATCAAAGTTCCTGGTGCTTGTGCAGATGTTTTTTGTTTTGTTTTGTTTTTTTTAAATATGTTTTTATTGATTTCAGAGAGGAAGGGAGAAGGAGAGAGAGATAAAAACATCAATGATGAGAGAGAACCATTGATCAGCTGCCTCCTGCATGCCCCACACTGGGGACTGAGCCCAAAACCAGGGTATGTGCCCTGATCGGGAATTGAACCATGACCTGGTTCATAAGTCAACACTAAGCCACTGAGCCACACTGGCCGGGCTGTGCAGATGTTTTGAAAGTCACCAAGTGCCATACGAATATTTGTAGGTTGTTATTCCTATGAATCCCATCAATGGCTCATATGCTGGGCTGTTAATTGAGCCTAGATCTTTCTTCTCCTCTTGGGCTGGGGTTCAAAAGGAATCAACGGGTGTTAGATTTAATCAAATGATAACCTGGCCAAGGGAGTCTAGTTGCCAGTAGCTTTTTAATGCTGTCTGAGAGCCTGATTTCCTAACACCTCTATGCAAAAGTAACACTTTTTCTGTCAACTAGTATTCCTTCACTGAGCGCTGGCTCCCAGGCAGCACAATGTACGATACTGTGTGAGGTTACAGGGTGGCGTCTCTAGACTGTTTGTTTTACCCCAGTCCAGGACTTGAAGGCAGCGGTAGTTGGAAATTTCCTGTTATAACTAATTCAGTAGTTAAATTATGTCCAAGTCTATCAAGAAGGCAAAGAAGGCATTATTTGTATTGTTTTCTGTAAGAGGGTGGGATGACTGACACTATATTCTTTATATCGTTATTTATAACACTATAAATCATGTTAACTGTTTGAGATGAGGCCTGAATGAGAACCAGTCATCTTCCTAGTATGGGAGAAGTCCCTTAAATTTCTTTTTTAAAATCCTTTTCATAAACAACGAGTGTCTCCATAGGATGAACACCGATGTACTCTGTGCAGGGTAGGCGAGAGACAAGGGTCTGGGTATGCGCTGCCCCTGTTGCCCTTTCAGATGAGCAGTGCATATTAGGGAACTAGAGGCCGATGCATGAAATTCGTGCAAGAGTAGGCCTTCCTTCCCCCAGCTGCCGGCACCGGCCTCCCTCTGGCACCTGGGACCCAGGCTTCCCTCTGGCCGCCAGCAGGCACCCAGGACCCAGGCTTCCCAGAAGGTCATCCAGAACAACGTCCAGTCTCATTAGCATACTACGCCTTTATTATTATAGATAGATGCTATGCCCCAGGATCCTCCTTTTTATGACCAAGAAAGTTCGGAATGGGGAATACCCATGGGTGAGCTCCATTAATGCCAAGTATTGCTTTCCGCCTCTCCTTGTGAACACAGAAAATCCTCGCTGGGCTGGAGCACAAAAACGGTGAGATCAAGCCAAAGAGTAGGAGAAGGTGGGGTCTTGTTCCCAGGCCGACAAAGGGTTCCGATGACTGGGCTGACTGGGCTGACTTGGATTTCAGCCCCTCCCGCACCAGGACTGACCTGACAAACAAGAAGAGACAGAGCGACGAGACTCTCTGCAGGCAAGTGTGCGCTTCTGTCTGTAAAGGACTGGACCTGGGGTTTGCGAGGGACCCTTACCCATCTGACGATGCTTTCTCTCGAGTGTGACCTGAGCCATGTTCTCTCGTTTCAGATTTGAGAGTGTTTTGGACCTGAAGCCCTCTGAGCCCATGGGGACAGGAAACAGCGCCCCGACCCAGACTTCGTATCAGAGGCGAGACACGCCGACCCTGAGATCCTCGGCCAAGCAGCACTACCTGAAGCACTCCCGATACTTGCCAGGTAATAGAAACAACTCCATTTTCTCTGACCGTTGAAAAGAAACCATTTCCCTGGAATCCCATGTTCACAGAGGTTCTGTTTTGGAAGGCAGTTGGGGCTTCTCTTCAGAACTGGTGGGAACATCATAAAAATAGTTGCTGGAGCCCAGGCCTCATATTTTTAGTTTTTATAGTTGCCTAAGATAAGAAATTTAGTAGCAGATACTGGGTCCAGCCCCCAGGGAGGGAGTAACTGGTAAGAGCCAGGCAGCATGCCTGAGGTCTCTTTCCACACCCCCCACCCCCGCGGAAATCTGCAGTGCCTGACACAAGTGGGGATGCAGGCATCTAGAGGGAAAGTGGTTTGGCTTGAGGTTAAGGTCAAGGCAGCCTTGGACATTAGGGAGTCGGTGAGGGTTGTTGGTACAGACCGGAGCCATCAGTGTGGGATGACGAAGTGGTGTAGGTCAGGTGAGACGGTGGAATCTTGGGGGACAGAGGCAGAAAGAGGAGGGAAGGGATGCAGAGGTTGGGACTTTGGAGCAGAGGTGGAGAGGAACTTAGATGACAGAAAGGCGGTGGCCTGCGAAGGGGACACGTAGGAATGTCCAGGAGCACTAAAGCCCAGGACAGCACCAGAGGGCATCAAAACATAGGACATGGGACAGAGCTGTTGGTAACAGAAGTTTCAGACACCCCTGTCAGGCCACATACCAGAGAGGCAACATACTAAACCCAAAGACAGCACCTTTCCTTTTCACAGTCCATGTTTGCTTAGATTCTTGAGCCATAGAAACTTTTAGACAAATTGGGTTCTGCATTAATTTTATCTCTGAAGTCTGATGCATATTTTGAAAACATTTCTTCCCTGTTAGGAATAAACATAAGGAATGGCATCCTCCCGACTCCGGGCAAGGACTTTATTCCATCTAACCCGTGGTCTAGTTCTGGTTTGTCAGGAAAGTCTTCAGGGACGGTGTCAGTAATCAGCAAGATAAATTCAGGTGAGTACTAATTATTAACTCCCAAATGGCAAGAAGCAAATTTCTCTGGATGTGGCAGAGTGGGAACGGAGACGAGGGTTCCAATTGTGGGACCACGGAGGCCTTTCTGCTATGCAAACCCCGGGCCTCTCTTCCTGGCCTGTGCTCCTGTCTCAGAGCAGCAGGCCCTGGGGACCCAGCCCGCTCACGGGTCTACCTCCCGGAGTATCTGGCGGGAAAAGCATAGTCGTTCTTGGCTCCTGGAAAAAACAAAAAACACTTGACAGAGTCTGACCCTCTATGGTGCATGACCTCGAAAGTCAGTTCCAGCTTGTCCCCTCTGCTTGATTACCCAGCCCCTGCCAGGCCAACAAGACTTCCAGATGAAGATAGTTTGGGTGGCCCTCCCATTCTTTGTAAATAAGTAAAAGACATTTCCTGAGCTGTGCAGGCTGACTAACCCTGTTCCCAGCCGGCCAGTTTCCCACATGGCCATCCCTCACACGGCAGCCCTGCTCTCTGTGTTGCTCCCACTCCTCATTCCAAGTAAACATCTGGGCTGCACTTCTCCTGCCTTTATCCATTCCATGTGCATGTATTTCAAGGAATACAAAAAAGAAGAAGAAAATAATATAGCAACACCCACATACCCACTGTGAGCTTACAAAGTGAAATAGACCCCAAGGCCATGTCTAGGCCTTTCCCTCCCTCTCCCTCTGTCTCTCCCTCACCCAAGTCCCCCCTGATTCAGGTATTTATTATTTCTATGCTTTTTAAAATATAAATACATGAAGCACATAGTATAGTTTTGCATGTTTTAAAATGTATATGCCTATAATCCTGGATCTCCACTTCATTCATTTTAATAATTATATTATGTATGTAGCAATTACACATATATAGAATGTATGTCATATCATATATCATATTACATATACAATATATATAACCATACAATACCATCATTTATTACTTCTACTAGACCATATTTACTTATCCCTTCTCTTCTTGATGAACATGTAAGTTGTTGATGGTTTTTGCTATTAGAAAGCGTGCTGAAATGGGCCTTGCTGTGCACCTGTGTGGGGTTTCTCTGGATGTGATATAAACATGCTAGGTTGAAGGGTGTGCTCATCTTCGACTTCGCAGATATTGCCAGATGGCTCTCCGGTAGGGTGTGGGAGTTGTGCTGCATCCTTGATGACTCTTGGTACTGTCGAGACTAAAATTTGAGCTAATGTGATGGGTGTGAAATAGCATTTTCTGTGGCTTAAACTTGCATGTCCTGTTCACTAATGAGGTTGAGCATCTTGTGTTTATTGACTACATTTTTTCCCTTTTGTGACTTTATCTGTTCAAGTTCTCCTCTCCTTTTTCTTCATATCGGTCTATTCACCAAAAATGCAAAATCTGCTCCGGCTGACCACCACAGCTCCTCAGACAGGCATTCCAACCATGGTTCCTGCTCTGCTCTGAGTGATGGCCAAGGATGCTCTGTGTTGGGGAGACATAGAGCAGTTCTACTACTCAGTAACTCTTTTCTTAATGGCTAGAACTTCCATTGTATAATGGCCATAATAACAGTCTTCATTGTTCCATGTGTAGCTTTACGCCTTCATAGTAAGGCTTATAGATATTCATTCCCCCATCCAAGGCAAGTGGAATGCCTTGCTATATGTAAGGCATTCATTCCACTAACATCCTAGAATACTAAGATGAGTAGCTATAGTTCTGGTCCTTAAAGCACTCTCAAGATGGAAATGGCATTATAAGTGAATGTATTTAATATACTCCGTATTTTAATAATGGTTAATTGTTCTGATTACAGAGAAGAATACTTATATAGAATTACTTATAATCTATAATAATAAAAGTGTAATATGCTAATTAGACCGGATGTCCTTCCGAACAAAGCCTGGGCTGTAAGGGAAGCCTGGGCCCTGGGTACCTGCCTGTGGCTGGAGGGAAGCCGTGTCCCAGGTGCCAGAGAGAAGCTGGTGCTGGCAGCTGGGGGAAAGAAGGCCTACTCTTGCACGAATTTCGTGCATTGGGCCTCTAGTAGCTAAATAATTAACATAACCCTTGTGTTGATGAATAAGAGAGTGGTTAAATGTATTATGGTTTAGCCATATTGTAGAATTTGCATATACTGACATGCAATGATCATTGTTCTATATTATTATGAAGTGGAAAAAGCACGTTTCAGAACAGGCTAAACTGATTATACCAAAAGAAAAAAAATTCCAAATTTCCCTTTTCTCATACAAACCAACCCCCCTCCATTTGGGTGTGGGCTACAGGAGCAGCAGTTCCCCCCCCCTTCCCCCTGTACCCCCATCTTTCTGACAGTGTGGTGTGCTGGAATGCTCTGATCAGAATATGTTTTTATCATAATTCTTCCCCCTCCAAAAATAAAAACCTAATTCTTTATTTTTCTGTACTACTGTCCTTTAACCCTGTCATGTACATGTGACTTTGTAGTAATGAACTTTTGTTTTTGCAAATCAGTTGGTTCCGGCTCTACAAGTTCTAGTGGACTGACTGGAAACTACATTCCTTCCTTTCTGAAAAAAGAAGTTGGTTCTGCTGTGCAGAGGGTACACTTGGCACCTATTCCAGACCCTTCCCCTGGTAAGTTCCATTGTGGATTATTCATGAATTGATTCAACAAATAGTTATTGAACAACGGCTTTGTCGTTGCAGGCATGGATAGGCATGTTGTAGGTCTAGGATCCTCAAGCGAAGGGGACAGACAGACTCCCTGTCCTTGTGGACTTATACTCTATAGACAATAAGAGGGCCAGATAAGATGCTTATGAGTGTTGAGGAGAAAATAGAGCAGGCAGGAAGTAGAGATTGAGAATGAGGGAGTTGGAGGGTGGGGTGCAGATTGCAATTTTAGATAGGGTAGCCAAAGAAGACCTCATTGCGAAGGAGGTGAGTGAGCAAGTGGGCAATATAGTTGAGACTGTTTCAGACTTGGGATTCTGAGGTGTGTGGGCTTTTTAAAATATATATATATATATATATATATGTTTTTATTGATTTCAGAGAAGAAAGGAGAGGGAGAGAGAAACATCAGTGATGAGAGAGAGTCACTGATTGGCTGCCTCCTGCAAATTCCGCACTGAAGATCTAGCCTGCAACCTGGGCATGTGCCCTGACCGGGAATTGAACTGTGACCTTCTTGTTCATAGGTTGACGCTCAAACACTGAGCCACGCTGGTTTGGCACAGGTGTGTGGGCTTTGAGACAGGACAGGCCTGGCATATTCAGCGAATAGCAAGGAGACAGTACAGGGGTGGCATGAGTGAGAGGAGGGGAGTAGGAAGAGAGGGGGTCAGAGAGATGAGAAGACACCGCATGCTGTGAGGCCCTGCAGCTACCATGTGCACTTGGTCATTGACTCTGAGCAACATGAGAGCCGCTGGAAGGTTCTGAGCAGGGGAGTGAGGTGATTTGATATGCATCTTCCACGCTCACTCAAGAGCTGGCTGTCACTAGACTGAGAGAGCAAGATTGGAGGCAGCAACACTGATGGGCAGGCTAATTATCCAGGCAGGGGATGGCGCTGGCCTGAGCTGGGGTGCTAGTGGTTGGGTTGGGCCAGATTCTGGGTATATTTGGAAGGTAGAGCCAGTAGGATTTGCTGACAAATTACAAGTAGAATTTGAGAACAAGAGAGGAGTCAGGATTGACATCTGTATTTTTGGCCTGACACTATAGAATTAGGTGGTCTTTAATGGAGAAAGGGAAGACTATGAGCAGGAGGCGAAGTGCTCCTCTTGAAATCTCCTTTTCTCATATTTTTTGTTACTGAGATGCATTTATCTGCACCTGTTTGCATGGGTCCCCTACCAATCAGGCTCACCTGTCTCTTTCACTGCAGGTTATTCTTCCTTGAAGGCTGTGAGACCTCATCCTGGACGGCCTTTCTTCCACACCCAGCCTAGGAGCACTCCTGGGCTGATCCCACGGCCTCCGGCTGCCCAGCCAGTGCACGGCCGGACCGACTGGGCTTCCAAGTATGCCCCTCGGCGATGACAGTCGGGATCCCTTCCGTGGGGGAAAGCAGGACCCTGTCCCTCCGCCAACTGGCGTTCTCCCTGCAAGAAACTTTCGGATGGTGTAAAAGCAAACACATGCTTTACAGTTGTTCTTCTGAACTAAGACATTTCAATATTCTTTTTTAAAGTTTTTTTCTTAAATATTGATTTGTACAAAATTATTTTATTCTACTACTGGGTCCCATTATTTTCTTAAACAGCAGCATTTTGTACATATGGATTATGTTTTAGTGTTTTATACAGTCAACTTTGTAACAAACTTTTTAAAGATTAATTGATTTTCTTTTGGGGTTCCAGATAATATTTTATACAGATTTTTAAAAACGTAATAATATTGATGCAGTATTGCAACAGGGGTGCAATTTAAAGCTACATGACAGAGGGTTATTTACTCAACGCGTGCAGATATTTGTGAAGTGGTTAAATTTTAAATGTGGCACATGGGGTACCTCAGGCTTCCTTGGACTGACTTCAGCACTAGAAAATGGTCTTTTCAGTGTCACGTTATTGGTTTGATCTTTTGAGACTGCTGTGCCGTTCTGAAAGTACTGTTATATAATTAACTCATTTGGTTTGGTGTTTGTTCCCCAGCTGAAAGAACTCTAAGTAAATATTTTTTGAAATTTTTGTAACACCCTTTATTGTGGTTGGAGATAGCCAAATGAACCCAGGCTTTATCATGCTATGCCATTCCATTCTATTTCTTCCATTTTAAAAATCAAATTGTATCAGCACCACAAAAGGGAAGCTTTTCTAGCCACAAGATTCTCAACATAAAGGTGAATACAGTCAATTAAACTGATATCCCTGCCAAGATGCACGACCAAAAAGCTAAGTTTTGACACAGCAGATTTTTTATGATAATAACTGATAGGATTTTGCATTCAGCTCAGTTCTCCAGGCCTGGCTGGGAACACACTACAAATAATCTCCTCTCCTAGCCGAAATCTCAGGGCACCTTGGGAAGCAGAAAAGATTGGTGGCAGAGGAAGCCACAGTTACCATGACACTAGTGTCAGAGTGTGCCACATTTGAACTTTGACCTCTTAACCCTTGTGTAGTTTCTTCCAACAGTGAGAACTCTATTGGTTGGCAGTGGCTGTTCCACTGAGAGGAATGTTTACAGCAATTTTGAAAATGACAAAGCTAGTTTGGAGACAGAAAAAGACAAGAGGTCCACTCTCATCCATCTCTGTAGGACACATTTGCCTCCACTCATGGTTGCCTGACAGGCAAGAGGGAAGGGCACCTCCAGAGAATGTATTATAATCTCAATAGTGTATAGACTCATTCTCCCAGGGCTCAAGTGCTCTCATGTGGTTCCAGGTTCCAGGATATAGCAAGCTGAACCACAGGAAAGTGTCATTTTTGTAGGTTAAAATGAAATGATATGGTTCAGCCTAATAAGTTGGGAAATTACCACTTCAGTCTGTTAATAATACGTTGCAGCCTGACCTGAACCAATTACACCATGGCTCCCAAAAAGCGCTAACCTAAAGTCGGGAGTCATTTCTGTTTTGGAGAATCTGGCTCAAAAACATACTTGACCAAGCGCTATGATCCTAGGGCCGGGAGAAAAGCACATAATGGATGTGGACTTAATAGGTAATATTTTCCTGTTAACAAACTGGCGGCAGAGCTTCAGAAAATAAATATGTATGTGTAAGCACAACTTGAACCTGAATTCATTTCTGTATTATATTCTCAACTCATTCTCGAAAGCAACAGAAAATGTGTTTTCAGAGACAAGTCCTTTACTGAGGTTAATATTTATTTCCCTTTCTGTATTATGTATACAGAGTAAGTTAATCTGTAACCTTCCTCAGCTTGCTGGAAAGCTGGGTTTAAATTGTAAATACCCTGTAGAAAGCAAATGGATTGTGAATACCATATTCTTGAAACTCTAGCTTATGCTAAGGTCATTACTTTTTTTTAAATTGAAAAACTAGTTACCTGGTTAATACACATTATAAAGTGGTTTTTCTAATATTTCTGTAGGGCCCTAGCTGGTTTGGCTCAGTGGATAGAGCCTTGGAGTGAAGGGTCCTGGGTTCAATTTCTATCAAGGGCATGTACCTCGGTTACAGGCTCAATCCCCCATGTGGAGGCAACCAATCGTTGTGTGTCTCTCTGTCTCTCCCCTTCCACTCTCGCAAAAAAATCAATAGAAAAATATCCTCAGGTGAGGATTAACAAAAATTTTAAAAAATGATATTTTTGTAGGGTCCAAATTCAGAAAAATATTTCACTTTTCTTCCTCTTCCTCTTTCCTTTATTTATCTGAAAACAACTTCCTTTGGGAAGCTAAACATGTATTCATATGAAAGTCAAGAAACAGATGTTCAGCTGAGAAAACTAGAAAACTGGAAAAAAACTGTAAATTCTAAAGAACTAGCAAAATCCTATAAAGTACTCCCCCTTGCCCTGAAATGGGTAAAGGACAAATTGTGTATACAAGCTGTTTACTATAGAAGGAAAGAGTGACCTTTTTTTTTTTAGTGAAAAAAAAATATGCTACCTGTGCATGTATTTTTCATTTACTGTTGAATTGTAAAGCGTACTGCAAGACACCAAGAGGAACGACGAGTGTAACTGTACCCTCCATTACTATACCTCGTTTCCAGTCAGAAAGCTTCCCAGGGCGTCGGGCAACGGTACAGGGATGGCTCTTCTTTTGGGCCCAAAGGCTCAGTGACAGGTGTGCCCAGGCGTCCACATGTGAACTGCACAGGCACAAAAATTACCTGGTGTGATTGTTCATTTCACAATAAAATCTCATTCATTGCTAAGCCCTCACCCAGCTCATGTATGATAGGGTTTAAATAGGAAGAAAATAGATTTTCAAACAAGTTTTAAGACACATTTCACCCAAAGGACTAACTAACATCTATATCATCTTCTGGGATTCTCAAAGACTGAGTACAAGCAAGGCAACACATGTAAAAACCAACAATGCTTGTTTGTCGAGAATTGTCAAGATTTTGTCAAGAACTTTTGTTTCCCAGTACAAATCCCAGTACTGCTGGAGTTCATGGGCACCGTATTTCCTCATGAAGTAGCATTTCCCTTCCATCAAGCCATTGGTTTGTGCCATTTAGGAGAGAAAAAGAAAGTAGGCTGTATGTTTCAGCTCAGTGTATGACCAAAAGCAATATATGTGACATACTAATTATATATCATTTAAAGCATACTGTAGCAACTTGTTTGTTTAATATATGTGGTTAATTTTTAGAATTATTTTTACACTTTTCAACCAAAGTACTGTATTTTGTATAATTTATTGTGAGGACCTTCTCACAGAAACCATTAAGAAGACAGACTGGAGGCAAATATCACATTCATCTGTATTATTGGTTTCTTATAGACACTGTGCTAATGTGAATTTAAAATGACCTGAATAAGTAAATAGTCTTCTGATCTCAAATATCTGGGCAGTGGTAGAAATTTTAATCACCTGATTTGATTACAAGGGAGTAACTAAGAATATATTTATTTATAAAGCAAATATTCATAATGATGAGAAGATAGAGGACAGAAAACCACTTATGTAAGCCCCTCTGAAATAAAATGTTGCTTTTTGAATAGTTCATCCTAAGGTGTTTTAAAATGTTAATTTTACATTTATAAAATTCTGCTCCAAATAAAGTTATGGTTTAAGAAAAATTGATTTGAGTGTTCTGTTTTTGCTTTCATGTTCTTTCATCAAAAGATAACATTAGTATATTTTATAACTTTTTCTTAATACTTGTACGTTGTAAGTATATACTTAGAGCAGCAGTATGAAGAGTTATCCTGCAATGTGGAAGGTTTTATGTTTGTTTTTAATTTAGCCTTTAGTAAGTTAGATGACTAGAGATATTAAAAACAAGCACAGGCCAAAACTTCTTGTTTCTGATTTCATTGTGGTTAATACTTACCTTGTATGTTTTTAACTTTCACAGTGCACTCATGTGTACAATATAAACCTTCAAAAGAAAATCCACAGGAAATTCATTTCCCAAACATTCTTTGAATCCGCAACGGAATTTTGTAGGAATGTGATTTACCTACCGATCAGACTTGTATTGGTGAACCCCTATACATGCCCCTCATGATCAGAATACCACCAACTGACTGTAATCGTCAGCATTTGTCTAACCCAGGGGTGGGCAAACTTTTTGACTCGAGGGCCACAATGGGGTCTTAAACTGGACCGGAGGGCCGGAACAAAAGCATGGATGGAGTGTTTGTGTGAACTAATATAAATTCAAAGTAAACATCATTACATAAAAGGGTACGGTCTTTTTTTTTTTTTAGTTTTATTCATTTCAAACAGGCTGGATCCGGCCCGCGGGCCATAGTTTGCCCACAGCCTCTTGGCAAGGGTGCCCCTTCAGAAGCCGTGCAGATTCTAGCTCTCAGCCATCCTTCCTCTGCAAAAACCTGCTGTAGGATTTGGTCTGACTTTAGCCATCTATAAATATGGCTGAATTTAAGCCAATTGTTTCCCTTTTCATGGAGAGTTTACATATCAAGCTTCTCCTAAACTATGATTTAAAGCTCCTGATTTTTATTAAGGCAATTTTACATGCTACTGAGTAGGTGGCTGAAGGTTTAAAGATGATTTCCCAGAGCCTCTGAAAATGTATCAGGTTGGTAGGTGGACACCATGAATAAGACAGGGTGACTCAACCTCCAAGAAGAAAATGATTTCAGGAGCTTCCAAAGAAGAAAACGCCCTAAGGGTACCTGTCGTAGAATGGCAGAATTACTTTAACAGGACTTTTTTTATTCCTGCCCTCCCGCCACCCCCCTTGCCGCCCCAACAGGACTTTTTATTTCTCCACAAGGCTGTGCAATTAATAGAGCCCAATGGTACTGCCTTAGTTTCTCTTTCAGGTAAACAAGATTGCTTGGATGATGTGACCCTATTTTTAGTAGGTTGGAATATGAACTTGTCATTTTTGTAGGTTAGAAAAAAAAATAGTAAAGTATCAGCAATGTGATATGGTTCAACCAATTAGATATAAGGGAATGAAGATAAATAAGATTTTAAAAAAGTTAAAATAATGCTTGTGCTATCTAGTTCAATTAAAGTGAGTCCTTGTAGAAAGGTGTGTGAGAAAAAATGAGTCAAGAATGATCACTTGGAGGGGGTAAAGGTGGGGGATGGAAGATATCTGTAATACTATCAACAATAAAAATGTATATTTTTTTAAAAAAATGAATGATCACTTTCAGCAGGGCTGGAAAATGGGGCTTCCTACCTATGTTTGCGTGATAATCTGTGTTAGGTCAGAATTAGAAAGATGAAATTGAACATACTTATATCTGAAAGTGACTTTTCTGACTCTTAGGCTGCCAGCTATTCTTGATTTCCTTTATTTCTTGTTTTACATGCTTTCTCTAGATAAGCTCACCCTTTTGCTGCCAGTTTGATCCATGCCAGTCCTCCCTTCTCAGTCATCACTGGCCTATACAATTGTCTAGCGGACATTACCAATTGGATGGCTCATAGGAATGAAAGTCAAATCTGCTCATTGTTTCCCTCACCAGGCTTATGGAGCTAGGAACCAAGGCATCCTTCATTCAGTAAATATTCCTACTCTGTGTTCAGCATTATTCTAGGAGCAAGATATACTAGTACAAAAGTATGTGGTTAAAATGTGAAAATTCCTAACCTTATGGAATTCTATCAAATCTAGAGGCAACAAAATAAAAAATATATATTAGATGACAATAAATGTGATGAAAAATAGGCAAGGGAAGTGGAAAAGGAAATGTGTTTTTGTATGTTGGGGGTGTCATTTTAAATTTTTTTCTTTCTCCCTTCCCCAACTCATCCTTCATATTTTATACCTCTTTAATATCTCACCTTTCCTTACCTATCTTCTTCAAACTAGAATTCTACTTGAATTCACACATTTCTGGGTGAAAATAATCAAAATCTAGTCAAACAAAAACAAAAATATAGGTAATTCTGTAATGGAACGAAAATTTTTTGTTGCAAAATTAGAAAAGGAAGGCAGACTGCCACGTGCAGCGCCTCATTTGGATGTGTCTGGAGTCTTGGAAGCTTGACTACCCTACGTTCTCCTACAAATGGACCTTGAGAGCTTGTTTGGAGGTTCTAGCAGGGGAGCGCAGCTACTCGTATACCCTTGACCGAAGACCGGTCCTCTCCTCGGGGGGGAAGGTCGTCCTCTTCGACCGAGCGCGCAGCTTCGGGAGGGACGCACATGGATCGGTGAGGGAGGAGGGGGACACCCGCCTAGCCAGCCAGATCAGCCGAATCAACCCTGGCGATCAATGGGGTGACAGATGTCGCAGCCAGATCGCCCTCACATCCGAAGGCAATGGCTGCTCACGGGCTATATAAACCTGGCCAGATTTGTGGCTTTACACATAGGACGAGATTTTTGCCCTACCAGAGCTGTAGTAAGAATTATTCATTAAAGTTCAAATCTAAATAACACTGTAAAGCACATGTAATCTCTCAAAATGCCAAAATTAATGTTAAAACTGCTTGAATTTGAGCTGTTTTATATTATCCAGAATGCCTTGCAGATGGGTGGGAGCATGCTAAACACTGCCTTTTCGATTGGTGAAATCTTCCCGGAGCCTCGCCCACCGGTAGCGCCTCCTCCCAGCCAGCTGGTCCCGCCCCGCTGCTGGCTGCGCGCAGTGCGCTTTGTGCTACTCCGGGTGCTGGTAGCGGGCTCCAGGTCTGTGTCCCTCCTGTCGCCCCCACCCGTCTTTTCCCTTCTTTTTGTTTATCCTTCTCTCTGTTCTCTCGGCTCCGAACTCGATTATTCCACCATCCATCCCTCAATCCCCCAACCCTTCTCTTGTCTCCCTCCCCCCTCTTGTCCTTCCCGCCCCGCCTTCGTCTTGGTAGATGTGGGCCCCCTGACTGCAGTTGGGGTCGCCATTGGCTCAGTGTGCGTATTTTTATTAACTAGCGCTGGGGAGTCTGAATCCATTGACGGAAGAAACTGGGCTCGGATCCTCCCCGGGCGGGGCGGGGTGGCCGCTGTGGCCCAGCTTGGGCCGAGCGGGCACGCGGGGTACCCGAGTCCAGCCTGGGTGGCCTGGGCGCACTCGATGGGGTCAGGGCTCACCGCCCAGCGGGGGCGGGGGAG